GCTTAAATCTTAAAACTGTTTTAAGGCTTAAGCGGAGGTGAAAAAATCAGTCCTGAGACTGACAAAAACGAGCGAAGAAGAATTTCAAGATAATTTGTCAGGTACATTTTAACGAGAGTTCTGAGAAGAATTCTGTGACGATTGGATGAGGATTATTGGTCTAAATTCTAAGAAGTATTTAAAATAAGTTTTGATGATTTTTTTTAAGAGAGCTCTGGTGAGAATTCCACAGGCTTGCTGAAACTCCTCAAACTCACTGGAGGTTTTACAAAACTCCTGTCCTTCGAGTTTAGCCAGCTCTCACCTCGAGTGAGTGGCGGCAGGAATATGGAAGAAGTAAACAAAAGCTCCTCGAGAGAAAGGGAGAGTGAACTTTAGCGAGAGGATGATTTGCCTCGAGGTGCGCTTTTCTAAACTCCCTCACTCTCATGTTATCCCCCTTCGCTCACAAGCTCTGAAGCTCAGTGGAATGGTATGTCAGTAGGAATTCTACTCCTCAGAAAAATGCTACGCTTGACTCCTTTAAAACTCGCGAGGCTCCTTCAAGCATGGAGTTCCAAGGAAAAACTCAGCAGGTAGTTGTAAAGGAATTCTGGGGTGATTTCTGAGGCAGATTCCAAGAGAATCCTAAAGGATTCGATATAAATTCCAAGAAGAATCCCAATGAAATCAAATGATGTAGATACAAGTGCTCAAAGGAATTGAGAAAAGAGTTTCAAGGGCATTCTGAGATGGATTTTTGATTTGAGAATTCTGAGGAAATACCATGGGTACTCTAAAGAGAAATGAACGATTTCCCCTAACCCAGTCGTCATAATCGAGTACCATTTGGTTGTACATCGTTCTGCTTGTATGTATGTATGTATGTATGTATATACAATCCAACTTCCACTGTCCGGCAGTGTTTTTATGGAAGAAAAATGTTTGCAACCTAATCTATTATTATCTTATACTGATCCCATTGCAAACAATTTTAGCCCGGAAGTTGAAAGGTGATAGCTCTGTTGAGATTCAGAAACCCATTGCAGAATGCCTGGTTACTCACGTCCATTCCGAGGTTACTTTCACTTACAACAAGCCCCGCATACACGTAGTACCGATATAAAATGTATATAGGTACTGCGTGTACACTTCCATCCTCAAAGTAATTCCTGCTTTGTAGATGGCACGTATTTTGCAGCATGCATTTCATATTTTTATATTAAGTTGTAATCAGTTAGATCTCACCGCTTATGTATTGTGTCCTTGCTGCTGAATCTTTGTCATCTCGATTCTCGTTGAGTCCTCTTCTTGAATATTGTAACCTGGTTGTACATCGTTCTGCTTCAACCTGAAAAGATATAAAACAGCGCTGCTGTCATGCCTCTGCTCATTACCGCTTAGGACGGCGTGGCACTTTGTCCTGCAGCAAGCAGGATTTTTATTTTTTTTAATCTTAAAAAAAATGTATATATCTAGTAGCTTACCTTGATAATTCACTAAGAAATTATAAACTTCTTCGGAATGTTCTCAGGAACTTTTCAAGGTTCATTCCCCTTCTTTTAAATTTGCCTCTGAAATAAGCTTAAAAAAAATAATATTACATTCTTGAAATTGTCTTCAGAACAATCCACAAAATTGCAAGTAGATTATGTATCTTCGAGTTTTTAATGTTTCTTCCATGAATTCCCTAAATTCCATAAATCCATTTTAAATTTACTTGATTGTTATTGGTGGAGCGAAAGAGTTAGAGTTCTATTGAAATTCGCATGCAATTAACCTAAAAAATATCTTAAATTTCTGCTCTGAATGATCCTGGACCCCGAATTCGTAGTCTCTTTAGAGTACCCATCAAATCAAAAATCCATCTCAGAATGCCCTTGAAACTCTTTTCTCAATTCCTTTGATTGTTCCGGAAGTGATTTCACCACATCCGCAAATCGCCTGCCAGATCAGGAACTTTTTTTTGCAAATTTCGATAATTACTTCTTTTGACATCCTCCAGAACACTTAGACTTGGCAACGCAATATTCTTGTCCAGGAAGTTGACGAAAGTCGGCCTTGCCGTAAGTTGCGTCATCCATCACAATGCAACACGATTTGGTGAGCAACTTCGTGTAAAGTTTCCGGGCGCGGGTTTTCGCAGTGATGTTTTGCTTTTCATTCCGGTTTGGGGCTTTTTGCAACTTGTAAACATGTAACCCAGCACGCTTCATGGGTTTCTTCACAAAACGGACTGAAACCCTTGGACTTTTTAGCGACATTTCGAATTGATATGTTTGGACGGTTCTTGAACTGCTGCATCACTTTCGTAGCCATTTCACTGTCCATTGGACCACTTTTACGACCACTCCTTCCTCCCTTCGGGCAATCAGACGCTCCTTATCACACGAGACACAATTGTATTTGCAATTCCAAGCTTTTTAGCGATCCATCGGTGGGACGCCTCTGGATTTTGATTGTAAGTGCGCAACATTTTTTCTCGGACAATTTCTTGTTTCGATGACATGACTGGAACTACACGCTCATTCAATTTTCCTCAAAAGTGAATAGAATTCTACTCACTTTCGGTAAACGTGGAACTACTCTAAAGTGAGTAAACACATTTTTACCTTGATTTGTTTTCCGTCGATTTTGTTTTCCGTGCTGAGCACCAATGCTACCGACGCCAGGGAGGCAGCTCCCACACCTGGACCCTACTTATCGACCCATCAACTCATGAACCGGGGACGAACGGCTTTACTTCCCTTCCGATGTTATGCCTGGGATTGAACCCAGGCCTGCTGGGGTGAGAGGCAATCACGCTTACCACTACACCACCGGCGCCGCTGAGTAAACACATAGTGTTACTCACTTTTGGGTAATGGATGAATCTGTCAAACGTAGAGTAACTTCTACTCAGTTCTTGTTTTAAGAAAATTAACAGAACTGAGTAAATATAACACAATTCTTGTATAATTAATTGTCATTGGAAAAACAGTATTATTATTTAAAATATAATAACAATAAAGTTATATTGCAATATTGTTTGTGATTTGAATGGAAGAACATGTGGCATAAATGAACCTTCTCGTCAACATGGGTCACTCGTAAAATCAAATATAATTCAATCTATCAACAATTCCTCGATCACAGATTCAGACCTACACCTACCAACACTTCAAAAACATGCTAGTGACAGAATTGCTCCGGATACTACGAGTACACGAACGCTGCTTCTAGAATTGATAATCATCATTCTGACAAAAATAGACGGGGTCTTCCGGTTTTTTTTACGTCAATGCCGATTGTTTAGTCAGGGGACATGGTTTCGGGCTCGGGTAAAATTTGACGGAGAATTTGACCTCCTACTGATAATCGTTTGTTTCAGAAGAAGTTGTTCGTCGACGTGAATTCCACACTTTTTAATTATTACAGTTTGACACAAAGGGGTTTAACGGAACGATAATTTTATAAATCTTTGACAAAAGAGCGATATGTAATTTTTGTTGTGGATTACTCAAAGGTGAGTAAAAAAATAATTTACTATAAACAGAGTTAATGTTACCTAGATTGCTAAATAAATGTTACTCAGTTTTTGACATTTTGCATAAAAATACCAAACTGAGTAGAAGTTAGTCACTTTAGAGTAAAACAAAACGAGCGTGTACTGTATGTTTAACTATGAAACTTGACAGATGTAAACAATGCACTATGAATAAGATTTACTCAAATTTTCAGGTTTTTTACTCATACGGTTCAAAAGTTACAGAAGATTTTCGGTGTGCCATTTTTATCGAATAATCCCTCTATTATTTAATAGTCACTATTTGGTCACTATTTCCGTAATTTTAGTCACTTAAGTCAGTACTATTATACTGCATCAGCATTGCCAACCCTGCGATGTGCATGCTTAATAATACTTGTACTATTTTTAATAATAACTTCTGCTCAGGCTTTGTTCACACAAATCTGGAGTATCTATTCAACCACAACATCAAACTACTTGGTGTTGTATAAGGTAAGGTATTTCGAGAAGCTTTTATTCGACTTACATGAGTTGCAACAGAGATTATTCGATAACTTATTTGATTATTCAGCGTTTATTAGACATCATTGCTTCCTTAAACAGCAATGCTGTATACGCTTGGAATTCAGGTGAAGTAACGTTTAATTAGACACTATTATCCATTTTTTGAACGATTTTTCAATCGAATGAAATCAATTGTGGATAAAATTCACAAAGCAATCATTTGAATCTCGATAATTTATTTCGCAGAGTGTAGGCACCGACAAACCGACAAGAAACTTTAACTTATTCTTGATCGAGAATCCATAACGGCCGATTCAAATGTGCAGCGATTCCATTTGTCAAAACCATAGAAATGTTTTATCTAGATAAAATAATTTGTTCGAAATAGATTAGACACGAACCAACTCATAAATTTCGTACGCGTGTTCGCGGCGGCAGATGTCAGTTTTATGCTTTGGTCAGAAAGTAATTTGTAATTTGTATGATCATTCATGTCGGTATACTGATGTTGTAGATGTAATGTTGATTAAATCTGATAACTGAGTAAGCTTTTTGAATGTCATCGCAGCCAAATGAAGTCCCTCAACCCATTCCAAGTACACAAGCCATCCCGAAGCACACAGTCATCGAAACACTCATGCAATACATTCTATTTCCCAAGAGAAACGTGAACTTCATGGCAAACTTTCATATGTTTTATTTTTCACTAGCTAGAATGTACAACTGTTGTCCTTATAATACGTAGACATTTTCTTGGGAGTAGTACCTTTACTAGTAATACCGATATACATATCATAAACCTATTATATTCCTCTTCTACTGTCTCAGAGCCATGACGACCAATAAGGAAAGATGTTCCCATATGGGTGAGCTTTTCTCCGGTCGATTTTTCGACTCGGGGAAAAACTACCCACTTTGCAGGAACCCGCTCTGGGGAAAGCTAGATAACTAATGACACTTTTGTTTCTGCATTTTCCGTACATCCTTCGAACGCGTGTGGTGGAAACAGCCTCTTAGTGCCCCCGATCCAAGTAATCATCATTCGGTTAAGCCGGAACCATCGGAAGTACATTAGTTTCATTATTACTATTATTATGTATGACTTATTATTAATTACACAAGTAACAGTCCGGTTGAGATGAGAAACAGTGAAAAAAGGCGAAAAGAATTAGTATGAGAACAGTTTTTTTATTTGAGCGTAAGCAACATGCAAACGTAACCCATACACAAGCGAGGGATTAAAACACAGAGAAAAATACAGAAAAATTATATATTGAGGATGAGAACACAATGAGGGAACGATAATAATTATTAATGATAAACATTGAAGAAAATACAAGAAAATGTGAGAAATAATTATTAGTAAGATGTGAGAAGTTACTGCAACAAAAAAAGTATAAGCAAATGAGAGAAAGTGAATAAAAAGGAGTAATACAAAATAGTTTTATGTAAGGAGAAAACTATGTATAGAAATACAGGTGTAAACACAAACAAACAGACAGCCATCATCTGACAAAGAAATGAAGTAAATAACAGACGCAATTTTGAGAAAAAAAAAGTTGAAGAATAACCATACTTTTTGCTTCCAACACAGACACATAAAGTAGAGACATCGATGATGGTTAGAGATACCATACCCACTGATGCAACAGATTAGACCGGTTACATACAGACACACATACAAACAAACAAACAAACACACTTATATGTTGTAGTGGTACATTTAAAATGAATTGCTTCCTTTTTTGTTTTAAAACTCCTAATGATAATGAATTGGATTATATTTTATTTTTTCTCTGTAAGTAGAAGAACAGAAATTCCTTTTATTTTTTAATGTATGTAGGAGATAAAATGAAGTAACAAGAAGAAACAAATAATAAGCAGAAACAGGAATACATGAGTACGAGTGTGAGCAAAACGATCGAGTAATTCGGTACACAGTTGGTGAGAGTTAGTTAATGACGATTACGAAAAAGGAAATGTCTAGTTTAGATTCTGAGCAAAACAGACAAGGAATATATTAGTGATTGTCATTGTAAGCGAAATTTCTTTGTTTTTTTTCGGGGTCCTAATTCTTGGCGGGAAATGCCATCCTTGTGGTCAACAACGGGCATCGTGCGTTATTGCACCAAGCGTGTCGTATAGAGCTAAACTACCGTTATACGCATAAGAGTCCGGTGCATAAGGATTGCATAGAACATGGGACAGTTATGCGTATAACGGCAGTAACAAGCATTACATAAGCCCTATATAGCCGTTTTGGTGGAATATGGTGCTTGTAACGTTGCTTGACAATTGGGAAGGAGGTCTTTGTCTAGCGGTTCGGGTAGTATTCCAGTGTTCAGAAGTTTAAGATGTGAGGTAATATTTACTCTAATTTTCTTCCGATGGGTATCCTTCAGGTTCCACTATATAGTGCCATATTTCGAGTGCATTTTTCAAAACTATAAATCAAATCTGATCTCTGCATGCATCTCGGAATTGAGCTGGATACAGAAAAAAAGGCTAGCAAGTAATTCCACTTAGCATCGCTGACACCCGGTTTGCTAACTGCGCTGGAGCTGAAGTTCGTTCCTCTTCCCATGTCGGTTAAATATTTGTTTTTTTGTTTCAATTGCAGCAATTTAAGTCCCAGCCGTTCTCACTTGCTGTTTAATTCATCAAATAGCGGGCTTCCTAACTGGACGAAATGACCAATTTCGGTCAAGTATTTGAGGACCGGTTGCTTGAATTTGACATATTTTTCTGATGACTAAATAGTACAGTTCTTCTACCTTCACTGAATTGTTCTCCAAATTCGCTTTACCCCTCCATGTATAGACAACCTTTTGCGATCATCCGGCTTCTGGCTTCCCAAGGTTTAGGAATTAGGAACCACCTCCGCCGCTCCGCAGAGAAACGGAGTGCGGATCAGCTAAGAGAAATGTGACGACTATATAGAAGTAGATGTAAAACCAAGCTAATAAACGTGAGAAGAAAGTGAAAAAAAAACCAGAAGAAGAAAACACGATCAGACAAACAAGTTTTAATCTAAATAATAAGAACAGGAAAAACCCCCCTAACCGTATGCTTTAAGAATGTAAGTGAAATTTGATAAGAGAACAAAAGCAGACTGCAAACAACAACAAAAACAACAACAACAGCAACAATGTCAACAATTCAAATGAAATGAAAATTGAACAAACTCAGTACACACTACAAAAAAGAGATGATGCAAACATTCTTCTTTTTCACTCAGCAGCAGCAACAAGAACATAAGCGATTAGAGTGATGAAAAATTGGGATTGTATAAAACACGATCTGTAGTTTCTTCCCATTCGCAGAAGAGTAAATCTTTCTTTCCCCAAACCCTGTATAGTCCCAAAGACTGTATAGTCCGATTCAGAAAAAAATACACACAAACAAACAAACAAAATCTTCTCACTATTCGTTCCCCTTCTACTAGATTTGAACACGCGCATTCAATGTTCTGATAGGATGCAGCAAGCAGCAACAAATAAATTTAAAATATTATTGGAAGCTCACAAACAACAGAACAGATAAGAAAAAAATCACACACATTTAGATTAACTTATGTAGTGCTGGGCATTTGTTGAAACTTACAGGAGAGAAATAAACAAAGGAAATAAATAAGAACAGCAAGTGTAATAATTATGAAAAAGAAAAAATCATACACACCGACACATTCATTCCGTTGCGCGTCAAAAATGAAGAGAAACAAACAGAAAGAGTAATGATTGAGCATCCACAACAATACCTACGTTGAAAGGGAAAAACTTCTGTAAATGAAAATGGCAAAATCTGGACGATAAAGGAAGGCATAAATAAAAAAAATGAAATGGGTAAAAATTACAAAAAAAAAATACATTCCGTGTTGTCTGTTTTATGATAGTGAAGTATCACCTCCGAATAATATGTTTTTACACTCTATATTTTATATTCTCATAACCAATATTTCTCCAGCTAACACAGAAAAGAACACGGTTGGAAACAACATAAGCAAAGATTCTTCTTCTACTTATTCACTATTACGTCGATTCCCAACTGGAACCGTATGTCCACAGTTTGCAACTGATGGCTTTCTAATTCTTTCTAATGCATCTTCATTAGGTATTGTGGCGTCAGCACCAAATTAAAGTTCGGAAGTCGGACTTCCGACTTCAGCACCTACTTCGACGCATACTCGTCCCACTGGAAGAATTTTTTTCTTCAATTGTTTGTGTTTTGTAACATGAGACAGTTATGTGTCTACCGGCATTTTAATCTAGATAGGTGCTCCAGCTATTTTCCAGTCTTAATTGTTATGATATATATCTAAGTGTGTTTACATTGTTTCTGCTTTAGCAATTCAGTATTTTAAACAGGTTTTCTATACCTGCATGTCAGTATAACAATTCAAGCTGAACATTGCATTAGGTCCTAAGTAACATTGATCGATTCTCTTCGTCGACTTTCTCTTTCGTTAATAACTTGAACACATAACCGTTTCTTGTTGTGTTTGTCGTATTAGATGCTAGATAAAAGCTTCTTTTATCGATCTGTGTGCTGAAAATACATAGCCGTGGAGATACAAAGAGAAAGTCAACGAAGAGAATCTGTCAATATTACTTAGGACCTAATGCAATGTTCAGCTTGAATTGTCGTCTTAAAACTAAAAACTAAGACTAAATCTAAATCTTATTTAAATATAAAGGAAATTCAACAAATTTGTGTTCTTTGACTATATGTTTTAGTATTACTTCTACGTGAAGTCAACGATTTACATAGTTGAAGATGCTAATTTCAAATAACAGACTGTAGTGGTAATTTTTATACGATAGATGGAGTAGATGAAAGCATAGAGTTGATAGTTCCGTTAGAGTACGGCATCTACTCCCCTCACCATCCCTCTCCAAAGAGGGAGTTTGGTAAAGAGAGATGAAAAAACCGATTTGTACCTTCCTTAAAAGTTGTCCTAGCTCGCTATTCTAATATCTATATGCAATCTTCACACTGCCGTACTCTAACGGAACTATCAACTCTATGCTTTCATCTACACCATCTATCGTATAAAAATTACCACTACAGTCTGTTATTTGAAATTAGCATCTTCAAATTTGTGTTACAAAGATTCATTAAAAATCTATGTGTAAATTCTAACTGACGAAAAGAGTTGCAAACAGACCAAACCGTTAACTGTTCAATTGATGTTGACGATTGAATCACAAATATTCTTATTTTTTTATCTCGAAATTGTCATAGACCCTATCACAAATTCTCTAATCCAGCACTCTTTTTCGTTTCCTATGAATTCTGTTGATATCGACTTCGGATCTGTCTGATTCAGTTCAGCTATATTATGCCATATATATTCGGTACATTTAAAAATCGGTTTTTAGATGGTCATTTGGCTATATCATTGCAGTTTTGAGTGCCATTGGCCATATTTCGTTAAGTAGATGTGATTTGATATGGCAATGATGGATGACGAATTTGATCATGTGAAGCCATAATTCGGGATATCCGGAACCGATTTTACTGTGACCATAGGCTCTGTTATTAATAGTTAGAGCTATTGGCAAGCGGTAAGTCACTCCGCACATTGTGCCGAAATTAGATTCGGCACAGCTTGGGCACAATCTCGTATGCATTGGATTGTTGTAAATAAAATGGGAGCACTGCTGGACAACTGTCATTGAAGCTGTTCACAACATTACGTGCTGTTTGATTGTATATTCAGGAACATACCTAATTGAATATGGTAGAGATAGATCTTGTGTGTGTGTGTGTCATCCTCTATCCCTCACCCAGGCGGGGGCGTTGGACAAGTAGAACTGCGAATAACTTGATCAAATCTCATGCTCCGTAATGGTGCCCTTTATGTTGTGAAGACTTTGAAGTATTTTTGAGGCAAGACAGAGTGTCCTCAACAAGTTAAGGGAACATGATGCACTAGATGTCCACAACAGGTAAAGTAAAACATCACGTAGACGCCCTTATTCATGCTAACTACTCAGGGAGTAGAAGGTCAAGAAGAGCCACCGCCGCCAACTAAAGCTTGAACCGGGTACCTAGGACTCCCACGATATACCCGCGGCAATGGTCAGCAGACGATGCCCTGTGCGTATTTAGTATGTAATATGTTTTATTTGGATACACAAAATGTTTGAAGCCATGCGTCATCTAAACCATAATTTGCATCACCACAAATACACTTGTCAACAATCTTAACTGGAGCGTACTCACCATATCACTTCACCCGGGAGCGCATTCCCGATGCTTCCACGCATATTTTTCTCTAGTCATCCCTAAACAATCCCTCCTCCAGCGACTCCAACCACGCAACAACCAAATATCACTTTTCTTCGCTTTTCTTTTTCAATTCACTCCGTGCACAAAAGCAATGCACATTGCAAAACCCTAACAATAGATCAGCGCCGTAAACTGAAATTAAAATTTTCACTCGCGATGCCACAAATTTCTGGTCCGGGAGAAAAAATCAAACCACGCAGATAGCGCCAAATCTGCTGATGCTTGCAATTTTGCAAACATGATGAATCATGTTTTCTTTCTCGATTCTAAAACTTCTCTGAAAGCGAGAAAACCATCATTCACACACGTATAACCGTCCGGGAGGCAGAGTGCCAGCGCTAATCCGGCAAATGCAGCCGAATACTATGAAAGCGAATGCACGCACAAAATAGAGAACAAACTTAAAACACAACCGTATCCATAGGCGTTCGAAACTCGACCACCGACCAGCAGTTCACTTATAGATCTTAATACGAAATGTAGGTTCTAGAGTGGGCTCAAGAGAAAGAGGCAGTTAATCAGACCCCATTAGTACCCTGTGTGGGACCTCCCTTAGCTCAGTCGGTAAAGGCACAGCTACAAAGCAAGACCATGCTGGAGGTGGCTGGGTTCGTTTCCCGGTCCAGTCTAGGAATTTTTCGGGTTGGAAAATTTCTCGACTTCTTTGGGCATATAGAGTATGATTGTACTTGCCACACAATTATACTAATGCAAAAATGGTACAGGAATCGTAAGCTCTCAATTAATAACTGTGGAAGTGCATCTAGAGCACTAAGTTGAGAGCACGCAATAAGCTAATATGCCATACGCAATAAGCTTGAAATGTGAGGAAGAAAAAGAAGAAGAAGAAGATAGTACCCTTAATTCAAATAATGCTGCAACTCACACAAAACAAACTACAGAAGTCTATTCATCATCCTCTATAGTCGGTCTCCAACAATGTTTCCCAAAAGGTTCCAACTCTTTCCGGCCGCTGATAGACCGTTGCTTTTCACAGCACGATAGGCTGGGGCTAGGTTTCTGGTCTGCCTTTGAGGGCATTATAAAACCCTAAAACACAGGACTTCTATTATCCTATGAACATAATCACACAATCCGATTTATTCTTGCGATTTCAAACCAAAACATTCAAGGTGTCAGAAATACCGGGTTGCCGGGATGGGTATTTTACAAACAATTGCAACTTGATCTATGACCAGCACGGTGTGCCGATTGTGCGGCACACTGACAAAAAATATGATCCAAGATTGGTGTGCGGAGTGACCTACCCCTTGGCTTTTGGTCATATTTTGTCGAGTAGAAGTGATTTGACATGTGTTGAGATAAATAACCAATTTACCCATTTAGAATCATAACCCTTAATATATGGAATATATGGTTGTTGTTTGAGCTCCATTGGTCATATTTCGTCGAGTTGCTGTGATTTGATATGTCAATTGATATGATTCCGAAACATTACGAAATTCACCATCCGGAATATTGGGAAGCGGTTCTACCATAGAGGTAACTCTAAGACTAGTAGGTCCCGAAGAAACGTACTCAACTTTTTGGCTCAACTCTGGTACTATCTTCGGTCCCAAGCTAATCGATGCACCCCTCAAAACATAGTAAAATCCACGAACCCCTCATTTCATCTGTCAAACTTTCATAGAGAATCAAAACAAACATAGTGTAGTACTAGAATTTCAACTAGAATGAGGTACGTTAATCGATTTGCTTGGGACCAATAGGCTAGTCAAGTAGTGAGCCAATTTAAAAGCGTTAGTTTCCAACCGGTGGCCATATGGGTCTATGGTTTTCGTTTTCAGAGCCGTTGGTCATATTTCTTCGAACAGATGTGATTTGATATGTCGATTGAATGATAATGAGAGATATCCAATTTGACCATGTGAAACCATGCTCCGGAACAGGGGTTGAAACAGTTGACGTTTTTTACTACACTCGCTTCGTTGTCGTGCGCGACAGTCTGTTTGTATTCGAACACTCATGCTCTACCGTCGTCTCTCTCACACAACACGAGCGGTAGAATAACATTCGAGCTAAAAGAAAATTATCAAAATAGCTATCATATGACATGTGTGATTTCGTTGTACAGGGTGCGTGACGAATTTTTGCAGTAAATTTCAAATAGTAATTTCTCATGCTTGTGCATCATGATTTAGATATATTTGGCAGCACTGGATAGCTTATACTGTTAGGTGTAAAATTTAAACAAAC